ACACACACACACACACACACACACACACACACACACACACACACACACACACACACACACCGCTGACACACTGACTTCTTTTTTTGGCCCATCGATTACTGCCAGCCAATAGCTGCACTTCCTCCTGTCTGCATCGTCAGGTTTCAGGAAGTGATGATAAATGAAGAGCACTATCTGCCAGGACTGCTGCTCATGGATGCAGGTTCCAAAATCAAGACATTTTAAGTCTCATGTTGCTTCTTTCAAGGAGAGAGAGACATGAAAGAAAAACTGTACATAATGTTGAACTAAATGGACAGAAATTAGCACAGTTTTAGCAGCTAAGCTCAAGCAAAGCTTATGGGAACTATCCCACAGCTGACTGTGGGTTTGTTGGCTCAAACAGCCCTCTCAGGCTTTGTGGTTAACAGTCACAGAACAGATCACGTACTGTATGCAAAGAGGCCAAAGCACAGCATCCAGAGTTTAAAATGTTGTCTGTGGCAGTCATTCATTTAATGTTAAGCAGCAATCTCTGGTTTTCCAGAGCTGAGGAGACAGAGCAGGCGAGCCACCAGGAGCCCGGTGGAGGCTGGAAAAACCTCGAGAGACACCGAGAGGTGTTTCTGATGCAAGAGACAGTCGTGTTCAGAGGAAGGACTACTGTCTAAAGAAAGACGGCCAAGACAAACAGGGATTCATATTATTGTGGTTTTTCTTTGTTGAAAAGTGCTGAAGAAGAGAAACCAGTGAGGGCAGACACGGAGGTTGTGCTCATGGCCAGTATCTGCAGTACGCTGTGTAGCTGTTGTACGTAGCTGTCATGCGTTGACAGTATTTGTGTAATTACTCTCATTGACAGCGAAGGGAGACAAGAGTTCTGCACTGCACAGAACAAACACACCCGGCTGCTGCCTGGGACGGACGCTGTTACACTACAGATATTTACATCGCCAAAATTTACTGCCTGCAAACTAGGATGTCTGGAAATATGGGACGTTTGTGTGAAACCTGGAGCTGTGGTGAACTGTTCAAAAGGGTTTAAAGGCTATTTATCACACAGCAGACTTCATTTTTCTGGCTTGGATTAAGCTGCATTAGCTTAAAGACACTCATGTTTAACCCCTGACCTCAGTTTACTGAAGAACCAGGCACTGACTGGCTGATAATAAACCACATGTGTCTGGATCCCCCCTCAGCAATAAATACAGGTTCCTAAACAGTTTATTTTTTAAAATATTTGGGTTATGCTAAGTCAAGGTCACAGGAACCTTGACTTTGTATAATTAAACACTACAATGCATGGAGGAGGACACGACGGAGGAAAGAGTCTGTGCAGCCTGGAGCTGTCCATCACACAGGTGCACTGCCTCGGCTGATGACAGCTACAGAGAGAAGGTGGATGTGCATGGATGTGTGTGTGTGTGTGGTTGTGTGTGGTTGTGTGTGAGGATATCTATACTGGAAGATATATTCAGAAGCAAGTGAGCTGTGACTGACATCATAAAGGTAAGGAGTCGGGACTGTGGAGCTGAGAGCAACACGCTGAACCGTACGGGGACGTTTTTCTTTTTGCTGGAAGACACACACACACACACACACACACACACACACACACACACACACACACACACACACACACACACACACACTCACTCGTACGCTGGCCTCTGGGAGATGAACTGGCAGTGATGACGGTGATTCAGGCAGGTGAGGAGCAAAGAGAGGGAAGTATGAAGCATCAGCAGGACGACATTGCAGCGTGAAGGTGAGGAGCAGAGCGATCCAGAGAGGAGGTATCTATCTGTTTGTTTGGGATGTTTTATGTCTCCACAGCCGGTTTCTGACACCTGGGTGAACACATTCGTTACCACTACAGCTGCCTTTGTGTCGGGTGAGGCTACACAGGTACAGGTCCTGTTATCCACTGGTGCTGAACCGGACCAGAACCCGAGGGGCTCGCTCTGCACCGGCATCGAGCCCAGACTAGAACAATACTACATGTGTTCTGATTGTATTTAAAGTGATCAAACTGTATCTGCTGGTGACAGAACACACCGCTGTGAGCTAGCTCATACCAGACTGACTCCATCCTGATGAGCTCACAGCGCTTACCTGTCACTACCAGGAGCAGGAGCAGGAGGAGATGTGGTTCCAGCTCCCCTTGGTTTGTTCACTTTGGCATACAGTCTGTCCAGAGGGTCGTCATCAGGGAGGGCTCCGGCTTCAGTGGAGTGATTCCCATGTCCTGGAAACCCAGAGGGGCCGTGGCCGTGCTGGATGCTACTGTAGGGAGGTGACTGGGCCAGCGGCTGTGGTACCGGAGCAGCGTCTCGGTCCCTGAAGGACTGTATGCGGGCGTAGTTGGGATCTGCGTCGTCATCCTCAAAGTCCGGATAAGCCGACCCCCCGCCTTGCTGGTCTCTGGACTGCTGCTCCCGGAGCTCAGGATGCGACGCCTCAATTCTGAAAGAGAAATGAAGGACGTCTGGTAATCAGAGGAATACTGCTGAAACAGAGGAGACTGATGAGTGGGCTGCTGATGATTGAGCTTCACTAAGAGCTGTGACAGAGAAACATCTTCAAACAAAACACCCAGAGCTCAGATATGACAGGCACAGAGCAGAGAGGGCCGGAGACAATGGAGAGGACGGTACAGATAACCAGCAGCGTAAGAAAGGAAAGGCAGCCACGCTAATGAAGTGGTTTCAATGCTTCCCATGAAAATGATGAGTGAACAATCATCTGTGATCAACGAGGAAGACAAAAGATGTTTCCTCAGAAACCTCCACACACACACACACACACACACACACACACACACAGCTTCTCTGTATGCTGATGTCAGAAACTCTGGAGCACAAACAAAGATCTGATCTCCAGGATGCTCCTCACCGCTCTCTCTCTTCCTTCATCCTCTCAAACTCGTGGTCACTCAGAACGTCGGACTTCTGGCGCTGCACAGCCGCCTTCGCCTCCTTCTTCTCCTCCTTTTTCTTTCCAAATCTGGGCAGAGAAAAACACAGAGCTGGCATCAGAATCAGAAGCAAAGAGGGAAAACCTACCAGCGACTGTCTTCAACAGCCTTCAGCAAACTGGGATCATATGAAGGCCGATAACAGCGCCACCTTCAGAACAACACACAGCGACTGAACGCAGACACACACACACTGTGTTGATCTGTGTGAGAGTTTCTGTACCTGAACCAGGTGAACACAGTGAGTCTGCTTCACTTCAGCTTCTAACTGATAAACACCAACAGCAGTAAATGACACGACAGCAGCCACACTTCAACTGAAATCAAGTTTTTGTTTTTCACAAAACCAGCCGCTGCTCAAAGACATGGAATAATCGTTTAAACTAAAACGAAAATAGAAATGCTGCAGGTATATAAGGGGAATGTAAAGGAAGTGGTTGTACAGGACTGAAAGCACAGGCTGGTGGCTGTTCACCGGACGTCCAGGCAGCGACTGTTGGAATAAACAGAGTATGGCTAATCTAATAAATGAAGCAGAGGGAGGACATAAGTGAAGCTGCTGCTCAATACGAATGTACTCTGTACAGTCTAATCTAAATTAAAAGATGCTTCCACACAATAGACTTAGAGGCCGTTTTAAGTGGCCACATATCAATACTCAAACCACAGCAGTCGATACTGGTTGTGTGCGCTCAGCATCAGCAGCATGCTCAGCACTACTGTACACTGCACAAGTCACGACCTGGAGGAGAAGCACACTCACAAACACATGACAGAAGAACATCACAACGCTGAAGTTTAACGGGTAACTCTGGCCTCACACTTGGAGGTAAACAAACAAGTTGGCCACCGTGAGCACATGTTGAGTCTGGACAGTCGATGTATTGATCCGCTGATGCTCGTGTGATCTTTGTGTTTAGGTTGTGTGCTGTGTGGCTGTAAAAGGTTGTGAAGAGCCACTGTGTGGAGGACGGCATGTCGAAGCAGGCTGGAAAGATGTCACAAGACTTGAATGTATGACTGATGGAGTCGATGCTGCAGCGACAGACGTTCACCTGTGTCACTCTGAAAGTCCTTCAGAGAACAACAGAGTCCTTCTCTGTGCTCCATGAATCTTAAAATGGACCTAAATCAAATTCTTCAATGAATCAGCTACTCTCTAACACACCAGCAGTATTTCTGTGACTCTTCTGGAGATGAGGATGGAATGCATCTCCTACAGCTCCACATCTCAGCCTGGGCTGAATGTTAAACACTGGTGGGAGTCTCCAGGAAGCTCTGCTTTGACAAATGGAGGACAAGAGGCTGCCAGGTACAGGTGGTGGACGGCAGACGCTCCATCAATCTGATAAGTGAGCATGAATCACTTTCTCTGTAGAAACTGAGTCAGAGAGCACAGCTTCGGCGGAGAGTGTGTCTGATCCCAGTGGCGGCGCTGGGAGTCATGTGACAGGAGTAACAGCGCCTGTAGCTCTATGAGTGGTGACGGACGCCAGAGACAAACATGTTTTCCAAGTTTCTGAAAAGAGATGCTTGATTGGAAATTGAACATTTCAAGAGTTTGGGTGATGACACGTTCATTCTTAAAGGTGAGCAGGAGATCCATCAGAACAGCACCTCGGAGGACATTCACATCGACAGCGTGTTCAGTCACACTGAGTTGTGTTAGAAACAAAACCACCATCATAAACTCTGTGATGTGTGCAGTACTGGGGAGAAGTGCTGGGATGAAGAAAAACATCAGAATGAGGCAACATCTGTGTGTAAATGATGAGCTCTTTAAAAATCTAACTAGAATAATCTGTTTAACAAAGTGGGAAAATCAAACCTCTAAACACACCACAAAGCAATAACCGGCAAACACGAGGCTGGAACATTTCATCATGTCTGTCTGCAGCAGCTCCACAACTATCTGAGATGTTGTAGCGTACAGATCAGGTAAAGAGAAAAAAAAAGCAAAAGCCAGACGGGAATGACGAAGCTAATAATGTTTCCAGAGACACTGAAGTGAGGGCAGAAGGATCAGCTGCAAAAACAATGTTAAAATAATGAGAAAAAGTAAGTGGAGAGAAAAGAGAAGAGCTGATGTGGAGTCTGAGAGGCGTCCACATGCAGCGTCCATCTAGGACGCTTCCTCTGCAGGTGACCCAGGAACACCCAGACAGCGAGGAAGAAGACAACAATGTGACCTTTCCACTCTGGGACCCCTACACCCAGAAAATCATAGACTAATTTAGCTTCTTCCAGCACATCTTTCTCTGGACCGTCAAGGCAGCAGGGGGGAGGCGGTGACCCGACAGTCAAGAACCGGCCATCTGGTGTCCAGAAGTGTCCATCCATGGACCCTGACAGCAGCAGGAAAAACCTGAAGACTGAAGGTGGGAAAGAGGAAGAGCCGCTTCATGTCTGAATGGTTCCAGGGAGGGCAGCACCGAGCAGAGCAGGCTGAGGGGAACCACTGTGAGGAACAGCATAGCATGGCTCATGGCTATAGCAGCTCCAGAGGGATCCTGGCCATCTGCACCACCCAAAGGACTTCCTGTTCACTCTCCAGGAGACCGTCCGCTGGGAGACAGTGGGGGAAGGTCAAAGCATGGGAAAGCACACAAGCAGAGACAGGTCAGGGTGATGACGGCACATTTCTCATTCTATCTTAATGTGGATGTGGGCGAGCTGGGTTGAAAATCCATCGCTGACACTTTTTAAAAGTTCTGCTTCTAACGACGTTGGCAGCGTTACTGGTGGTGCTTAATCGTGATGTTTGACGTTATGGTGAAACAACACAGATCGTATTGTACTTGGCCTTTAAATGTTCTTTTGTTTTCTTTAAACTACAAAGAACCAGACTGAAGTTCTGCTTGAATCTGAATCACTGGACCATGTAGGGTTTATGACAGTTTTCGGTGAGTTACTAAAAACTGATGGGGATTGTTTGCTGCTGCACAAAAGATTTTTATTTATTTATTCATTTCGTGGAAGGAGATTGCAAAAGCAAATCTGCTTTCCTTGATACTTGTACTGGCACCGAGGTATCTCAGTCATTCCAGTTTGTACACTGTGACTCATTCTAAGGTGGTTCAACTTGAAAACACAAGTACCCCGCTAACTCAGGAATAAAAGGTGAACTTGAGAAGCAAGTTTAATGAAATCAGGACGTAAAAGAGGGTCTATTATGTTTATTTTCCATGTTTCTGTTCTGGGATTCACTAAAGCGGCTTTTCATGATTCACAGTTCCAAAAAAAATCCTAATTTATCTTACAACAGGCCTCTGTGCAGCCCGAGGTCATCTTCTGTTTGAGATTACCTGCTCATGCTACTGTCTCTTTAAGACCAGATTCCTTCTGATTGGCCAGCATCCAGAAGCCTCCGCCCAGCGCACGTGAGCTGCACCGACTGCATTCTGTGGGCTTGAGTTCTTTATTTACAGGGATTACTGTACATACATTTACTTCAATGTCTGACATCTTGACCACGTTTGATACGAACATTCAGCGTCGTAACGTGAAGGAAGAGAACGTCGGGTCTCCTCTGGGCTGAAACAGCAACTGTTCAGTCATACTAACACACACCGTAGACAGAAGGTCACACGCTCAGGTCTTGGCCTTGCCTTGATAGTATTCACATAGCGTGCATTCCTATGTTTTGAGGTTTGGCCTTGAAGGGAGATCTGAAAGAAGACAGAGGAGTTTTCTTCTGCCTGTTGGTTTCTACGGTCCTGCATCTTCTAACTGTAATCTACTGATCTGAACTGGAGATTCTGACTAGTAGACTGGATAAGATGTGATAAGCTGATGGTTTTCCTTGCTGTTGAACTGGATGGAACTGCTAGAAAAATAAAAAAAATGCTAAACGTGGCATTGGCACCCACACTGGGCCTGGAGACCCCAGAAGACGCTGACGTCGCAACAACACAGCAGATCAGTAAATCAGATGAAAAGATGCTTGTTTGGATGAGCCAACTGGAAATCCTGGAAGTCTGATGCAGATGAAGCCTTCTGGACAGTTTGATCTATAAACCAAACCAACCACCAACGACAGCTTCCACAGATAAACATAAAAGTCGTGAAGGAACCAGTTTGGCTGGCGGGCTGTGATTTATGGATTCTCAACAAACTCCGAGCGATTTCCAAAAAACCCAAACATATGCTGACACGTTGTCTCAAAGGGAGAACTGGAAAATCCTAGATGTAGGAAATCCATATGTGGATGTGGTGATGCTCACGTGATTTCTGTGTCCAAGCTGTGCTGCAGTCAGATGAGGATCGGTTCAGTCGACGCTGTCCTGAAGGAGGTCAACAAAACAGACACGCAGCTCCGGTGACAACGTCCGGCTGATATCCTGGTGTCCATCCATTCAGAGACAGAACAGACACACAGCAAAAACAAAAGCCTTTCCTCCCAGAAGCTCATTAAACGTTGCACCCAGCAGCAGCAGCAGGAGGACATGGTGAATGGAGCCAGTCACACCTGCTAAATAGTTAATATCTCAAACACGCAAACTGTGACCTTATAATGCGCTTTATGTTTTATTTATCTAGTCCCTTTATTGATGTATTATCCCTTTGTCTCTGCTGTGCACTGCCGCTGATGTTTGAAGTGTCACCGCACCTGCTGGTGTATTATTTAAAACGGCACTCGTCCTAACTTTAAAGTATGATTGCGTTGTTGTTGTAGCGAGTGTATACGTCTGCACTGCTGTAATAAAAGAAGACGTGGTGTGAGCACTGCGGTAATGGGCTTCTTTGAAGTGCCTCATGTGGACTGGGGGTAATGCCTATTTACCACCCAGAGAGGGGGAGTGGATGGGCGATGAAGGCCTCCCATCATCTGTGTGCATTAGCAGCACGTCCGCCTCACAGGGGACAGGCCTCGCTCTAATTACTGCTACCTACAGAGGCTTACCCTTTCCTTCAACTCTCTGTCTTAGCCTCACTTAGCCCTCTCTCACCTTCATTCCTTTTTACCTTCCTCATTGCGCTGCCTTTCTTTTCTCTCATTACGCTCATTCTGGTTTCGTTCTATCTGAAG